GGCCAGCCATGCTTCCAGTCCACTTCAGTGACTTGAAAACACACTGGACACTCGTGTGTGTGCACTCGAAACCTGGCGAGGCAGGGCTGCGGTGTGGCCGTGCGCGTCAGCTGTGGGGGCTGACCCCCACCCCGCAGCACAGGTGCCCTCTGGGAAAACAGAAAGAAGGTTAAGGGAAAGCCTTTGTAATTCCATAGGGATTTTAGGATCACTTACGAAGTTTTGAAAAGAACAAGGCAGGGCCGGCAGGTGGTGTGTAGTTGCTTCGCTGGACTCCCATGTGGTCGGCCACAATTTGAGTCCCAGACCTGGCAGCTTGAAACGCACGCCAGGCACACACCTGTGCATGCACACCCAGAATCCCCAGGGAGGAGAAGGGCCTGTGCATGGCTGACCCGGGAGGTTATTTCTTGTGCTCCGTCTCTCTGTCTGGTAGAGCAGAGAAGCACAGGCAGCGAGCTGGGTGAGAGGTGCAGGCGGGCAGGGCCGGCGTCCCCGGAGGCCAGGTTTCCTTCCTCCCAGCCCTCCATGCAGGTCTCGCACCTCCCGGCTGAGTTCGTCGCTGTTGTCCTCTTTCTGATGCCACAAGTGGAGTTGTCTTCTCAGGCTGCTGCCCAGAGTGTGCACTGCCGTGGCCCGCGTGGCAGTGCGGCTCGTTCTCACGCTGTCCTTGCCGTCCAGCCCTGCCTGACTTGTGTGTCTGCTCTGAGAGTGAGGCGGGGAGGGGGGGTTCTAGGCGATCGGCTGTTACTTTCCAGCTGGCCACCCCACGTGAGTCCAGGCTTCTAGACCCGCCCCATGTGGTGATTTCCGACTTGCCGCTGCATTCCTCAGGAGGTTGGTGGGCCGCGTGGCCTCTGTGAGACTGCTGGTCCTGCCTGCCGCCCAAGGGGAGGCTCGTGTTGTAGGAGAGCACTGTCTTCCCGGAGCCCTGTGGGACTGAGCTCTCGCAGGACCGGCGGCTGTTGTCTGTCCAGCCGGTGCTCCCTGGGCAAGAGCGGGGCTGACCATAGCAGCTGCTCTTCGGGGTCTTGGCACTCATGGGGCAGGACAGCTGGTGTGTGTCCTCTGTCTCTAGGGCCAGGGCCCACAGTGAACCCTAAAGACTCAAGGCACCCTGTGCTGTGTTTCCGGCGAGTTCTGTCGTCACAGCATGATGCCCATTTGTGATCCCGTGGTTTGCCAGGAGCCAGGGCTGCCATGGCCACTTGCTGTCCTGACTCGGCCTTCTGGAAGTTGGTCTTGTGTCTGTTAGTCCGATCTCGGGTGTGCGTGTGGGTGGGTGTCTCAGTGGCTGTCAGCTTCCTTTGTTCCTTTTCAGGCTTGCAGTGAGGTCAGTGGGGTCATGGGAGGAGAGTGCCGGTGCGCCTCGTGGGTGTGGCTGCCCCTGCCAGGGCAGGTAGGCAGGTAGGCTGTGCTCAGTCCGGCGTCCTCCCCTCCTGTGGCTTTTCGGAGTGTCCCTTGGGCTGCTCAGTCTGTTCACAGGTACCACTCTACTTGGATTTCATGTGTTTGTCCTCCGAATTTTCAGGCATTTCCCAGTTTGTGATTGTTTGTTTATTAAAGATGTATTACTTATTTATTTATTATTATTCAGTTTCACCAGAGAGAGAGAGAGAATGTGAGAAAGCAAGCACCAGGTCTGGGACTTGAAATATGGTTGTCCATGTGAGAGTCCAGCACCTCAACCACCATGCCACCTGCTGGCCCCAGTTTCTGATGATTTATAATAAATAAATCAGCTTATTTGTTTATGTTTGTTTATTTTAGTTTGCTTTAGTGCATGTGTGCTCATCAGAGAGAGCGAGAAAGTGAGAAATTACTCCCCAGGGAGGATGGACACATTGCAACCCCTCTCCTCCATTCTCTTCTTGGGACTTGGGGCAGTGCACACATGCCCTGGGGTGATTTCCAAGCCACCAGGTCCTGGATCCGAGCCACCTGCTGGCCCATGCTCTGTGTACTTCGGAAAGAGCCCATCTTTTGTCATTTCTTGGGACCTGGTGAGGAAGGGACGGTTGTGTGAGTTGGAGACCCCTTTGCCTGGTTTAGACGGGCTGGAGGCCTCCCTCCAGGCGCTCCCTCCAGGCGCTCCCTCTGTCCTCACTGCGTGTCGGGGGTGGGGGGGGCACTGCGTCGGAAGGCTCGCTCTGTGTCACGCTCCCCCACCCTGTAGCAAAAGGCAGCGTTTGAACCGAGACTTGAGACTTGAGACTTGTGTCGGAGGTCTCTCCAGCTCCCCCAGCTGCTCCCACTCCTGGCTTCCGAGTGCGCGTTTGCTCAGCTGCTCTCCCTCCCTGGCGGCCGCCTCCCTCTACCCCAGAGGCACAGCAAGCACTCCCTCCTGAAACCAAAGCCAGGGACTGCACCTCCCGCCCAGCCAAGTGCAGGAGGGTTCTGAGGGCCATCAGCTGGGCTGGGGTGGTGCCGCCCCTGCCATTGGAGCTCGAGGTCATGGTCGTTCGCCTGGGGACTTGAGTCTGTGTCACTTTCCTTCTGTGATGGAGAACTTGGAAGGGAGGCTGTGGCTGTGGTCTGGAAAGCCCTCCTTTCCCCTCTTTCATTTTTATTTATTTTTGTTATTTATACATTTTTTACTATTACTCATACATTAAATCACTATACGTCATTTAGATTGTGAAGCGACTTTACCCAGCATGATACACACCTTAGTCCCACCCTCTTAAGGTGACATTTTAGGGAGGTTTGTTCGCTCTAGGTTGTTTTTTTTTTTTGCGAGATTTTTGCTATAGGGCGCGTGTGCTCGCCAGACAGAGAGAGAGAGAAAGAGACATAGAGACAGAAAGCGAGAAATCACCCCCCAGGGGGGATGGCCACGCAGCAATCCCTTCTCCTCCATTCTCCTCTTTGGGCACGTATGCACACGCGCCCGGCGTGAGTTCTAAGCCACCGGGTCCGGGATGTGAACCGCAGTCGACTACGTGGGAGTCCAGCAACATAGCCATTACGCTAACTGCTGGTTCCCTGTTCGCTCTAGGTTTTTGATGTGGGGCATGTGTGCTCACACTCGGGAGAGCCAGAGGGGGAGAGTGAGCAGCCACCCCCGGGGACGGTCACATAGCAGTCCCTTTCTAGCACTCCATGTGCACACACACGCGCCCTGCATGATTCTCAACACCGGGTCCAGCACTCCGGACCATGTGCCTCAACCTCCATGTCCCCTGCTGGCCCCCGGGATACCTTTAGGCCACACCAAGTGGAGCCAGCCCTCTGCCTGCGTCTGCTCCCAGAGCACCCAGCGTACACTCGCCTGCACCTCCTCCTGCGCTGCCCTGTGCGTGCCGAGGGCTGTGTCTGGCTGTGAGGCCTGTCTCTCGCGGTTGCACACCTGGACTGGGGTCCTGCCCTGCCCTTCGGTGCGTGGCCTCGGCCGAGGGTTCCACTCCCCAGAGCCTCAGTTTTCTCATCTGTAAAGGGGCAATGACCAGTGATGTCTACCCTGTGAGATTAGAGTGGGGCACCAGCAGGTGCGTGGTGCTTAAGGCTGGACCCCACACAGCCACCTGCGATTCGAGCCCCAGACCGGATGGCTTGCTTTCTCACTACCCCCTCCCGTCTCTGTCTCTCTCTCTAGCAAATTAAAAAAAATGATAAATAAAAGGAAATAAATCTTAAAAAATTATGGTGGAGACTAAAAGTTAATAATAGCAGTAGAAGGTCCAGCAGGTGGTGGGGTGTTAGGGCCTTGGACTCCCACGTGGTTCACCATGGTTTGAGTCCAGATGCGATGGCTTGAAGCTCACATTGGGTGACTGCATGTACTCCACGCCTCCAGGAGGAGTATGCGGAAGGGGTGGTAGTGTGGCCACCTCCGGGGCCTGATTTCTTACCCCCCCCACAATCACGTGAGGGTGCCCCACCTTGTGCTCGGGGTGGGCTGTGTGACCGTGACCTTCTTACCTACCCCCCCCACATGTGAGGGTGCCCCACCCTGAGCTCGGGTGAGCTGTGTGAACGTGACCAGAGCGCTCCCTGTGCCCTTGTAGTCCTTCCCAGGGAACCCCTTGCAGTTGGTCAGGGACGAGCAGGGGAGGGCCTGCCTGTCCAACAGGGCTTCTCTGCAGCCCCCAGCTTGGCTGGCCTCAGGCCGCAGCGTGGGCCCTGTCAGAGCGGCAAGCACTGCATCTACCCAGCGGCGTTGGCGTCACCACCCGTGAGTGCACCACGAGCCTCCTGTTTGCCTGAGGTCCGTGGAAGTAGATTGAAGCACGTCTGGTCTGAGTTACAGTCGGGGTTCAGGGTGTGGAGAGAGGAGTGGGGCAGGGGTGGGGTTGGCGGTGATGCAAGAGGATGGGAGGCTCAGAGCGGTGGCACCTGGGTCCGAGAGGAGGGCCCAGGTTTTACTCCAGGTCCCACTGCAAGTCCGTAGAGGGTGCAGAAGCAGCCGACGTGGACCAATGTTTCTAGTCGTGCACGACCATCTCAGCTGTGATGGGGGGTCTGCGTGGGGTCCCGGGATAGCTAGGCAGCGCTCTGCCCGACCGCCGTGGAAGCTAGAGCTAGGTGCCACGTGGTCTTGGATGGCCCCAGGTGTGGGCCCCTTGCTCTGCTGTCCTCTCCCTTTATGACCCACGTGTTTCCTCTCCTCCCCCCTTGCTTTCTGCCAGAGGGCACGTGTGCTCACACATGTGCGAGCCTGTGAGGGAATGAGGGGGCATCTTCAGTGGGACGTGGCCATGCTGGAATCCCTTTTCCTCCATCACTCCTCCTTTTCGGGACCTTGAGCGCGCGCGCACGAACTGGACGTGTCGTCAAACCCCAGGACCAGGACTTGAACCACATAGCCAGCTCTGTGGGATCCAGCTGCCTTGACACTAGGCCGTGGGCTGCCCGAAAGCTCGCTGCTTTTCACGTGGAGAGGAATGGGGGCTTGCGAGGAAGGAGGAAGGAGGGAGGTAGGGTGAGGTCAGTGGTTCGGACCTCCTGGAGCAGATGTGAGGTCTGTGTCTGCTTGGGCTGACTTTGTGCTCCCATTTCAGAATACACATCGCCCTGCCCTGCCTGGGACCCTGCTCGGATGTAACACACAACCCTGCCCTGCCTGGGACCCTGCTCGGATGTAACACACCGCCCTGCCCTGCCCTGCCCAGGACCCTGCTCGGATGTAACACGTGGCCCACGGCTCAGAACACTCGTCGCCCTGCCCTGCCCTGCCCAGGACCCTGCTCGGATGTAACACGTGGCCCACGGCTCAGAACACACACCACCCTGCCCGGGACCCTGCTCGGATGTAACACACGGCCCACAGCTCAGAACACACGCCGCCCTGCCCGGGACCCTGCTGGGATGTAGCACGCGGCCCGCACCCGACTCGGAGCCATGGAATCGGCAAGTACAGTGGCTCTCTGCTTCCACTGGTGTCAGTGAGGCTCAGAGTGACCCTCGGGCTCGATGGAGTGCCAGCTGAGCACCGGGACCTGTGTCCGGGCGTCTCACAGGGTGCTTTCCGCACCCAGCAGCGAGCTTCCTGGGGTCAGTCAGAGGGGTCTGCCCGGAAGTGGGGTGATCTGTTAAAAGGGGTGTACCTCTCCTGACTCCATGCCCGAGCCGGGAGACTTTGGAGCCTCTACAGGTGCTGCGCTTGTCCTGTCCTGTCCTCCATGTGTGTCGTGTGTGGGTGACACGCAGGGTGGTTTCCGTGCTGTGGACCGTCAGTGTGTTGGAGAGCCACAGAGCCCGCGGGTGTGACCTGGCTGCCCTTCCTCTAGCGTGGGCTGCCGTGGAGGAGCCGTGCTCTACACGCGTGTTTCCAGATGCTTGAGGTTGGTGTGTGGTCGGCAGGCCTGGCCGGGAGCCTCTCCAGTGTGCCCGGGCCACAGGCCGCCTCCTGGGAAGCCCCGTGGGTCTGGCCACAGGACAGAGCTGTCCTGGGAGATGTGGAGGCCGGCAGGCTGGTCCTCCCTCCTGTGTAAGTTGGCACCAGTGGGAAGACTACTCTTGGCTCGTCTGGTTCTTACCTTGGCCACGCGTGGGCCAGCACTGTGGACAGGAGGGCCCGGCTCGTGGCCGAATCCTGTTTGGTGCTCCTGGCAGACCCCGCTTCCTTGGTGTCCCTGTCTGATGCGTCTACCCTGGGTCTCAGTCATCGCTGGATCGGGCCACTTTGGAGGGCTCCTGATGCGGCTCTGTTGCCTTAGAAACAGGGATGCAGTGGTGGAAGCAGCCTAGAGACAGCTGAAC